GGTTCAAGCGATTCTCCTGCCTCAGCCTCCCAAGTAGCTGGGATTACAGGCGCCTGCCACTGCGCCTGACTAATTTTTGTATTTTTAGTAGAGACGGGGTTTCACCATCTTAGCCAACTGGTCTCAAACTCCTGACCTCATGATCCACCTGCCTCGGCCTCCCAAAGTGCTGGGATTACAGGCGTGAGCCACCGTGCACGGCCCTGATCATTTTTCTAAATAAGAAGCTTGTAGACTCATAGGATTTCAATTATTCTGTCAAGCAGAGGGGAGAAAAGAAACATGCTAGTGATCCTTATCTGATTTCACTTCAAACTCTTACAAGGATTTCTATAGTTCATTACACAAAGTTTTCAATTACATCCTTATTACTAGAATAAAAATGATCAACTAAGAGAACCAATCAGAATTACAGGGTTCTTTTGGAGGCTATTTTTGTGTCTAGAATCTTTATAATCTTATAAGACCTTTTTTTTTCTTTCAAATAGCCCTTCCAAGATCTGATATATATTAATAAGGAATGGGACCAAAGGTTATGAATAGTCATGTAAACTTCCATATTTCATAGGAAAACAATATTAATATCCTCTGGAACTTCTCAATTTAATGCTTTATCAAATTGGATTTTTTTCCTGTAATTTACAGCACAAAGAACACATCTCTTCTTTGAGAGCCATAGAAAAGGAGGAGGATATTCCTTAAGCTCCTTTCTTGGGATGATTTATTTGATTGTGAAGATTTGTGTGTTTAGACCCAGACTCTGGAATTTCATTTATCAAGTTTATAAGCAAAAATTAGGCTTGTAAAGCTCAAATTTACTAGGAGAAATGAAAAAAGAACTACAGATTTTCTATATAATGACAGTGAATTAACTGGACATATAGCATTTTTTTTCTGTATAATGTTAAGGTGGTTATTAAAAGTTTACATGTGATTTTGTGACTATATCTTTCCTCCATCCCTCAGCTGTCAGATGGCATGTAGATCAAACGTCATAATCCTCCCTAGGATTGTGAGAGTGAAGCTCCATGTATAACACACTTGAATTGCCTGCAACCTGAGTAACCAAAACACTGTATTAACCAGAGCATATTCTATTGCTTCACTTTCAGGAAAAAAAAAAAGAAGCAAATGATACCAAGACAAGCTCATAACAGAGATCCAATCAGCAGATGTGTACGGATGAAAATACAGGTACAAATGAATCGCTTATAGCCTTTTGGATCTGCATCTAAATTTTTGTGTAATGATGACTGGTATTCAGAATGTCACAGTAGAATGCAGAATCAGCAAAAGAATGAGCAATCAAATTTTCAGTAAGAGTTAAATACTTCTTTAGTATGTCCAGGTGGCTCACCCTATTCTAGGTTCTGGGAGCAGAAATATATATAAAAAAATTTATCTACCCTAGAGGGTCTATGGCCCAAGTCACCGTGTGTCTGTACTTGACAAACCCACATATCATGCACAGTGGAACAGCCATTCTCTGATAAACAGACTTCCTCCCTTTGTATTCCCAAACTCTCTGCAGGAGAGTCCTTCCATCTTTTTGTGTTAACTGAATCTAGCCTGTTCTCTGAGAACAAGGCTTTATGTGTTAGCCTTTCAAATGGCGGCCACTTTACACTCCAGGTAGCTCCAGGTTTGAGAGTGTGGTCAGTGTCCTCCCCATTGCCACTTTTAGGCTACCATGCCTTCACCCTCTAGTTAAATCTCTGCATTTTGAAGCTTGTGCTGCATTCCTGCCAGACTTCACTGGGCCTCCAAGTCGCACCTCCTCCTTTGCTGATGGTTTTTCACTGGGCTGCCCACTCCCTCTCCACTTAGGTGACTTTACTATTTACTTGAATGAACTATTCACCACTCCAGTGAATTATCCACTCTGCTCATCCATCCATTGTCATTGTGTGACCATTGTCAATACCTGAAACTACTCCATCAACCAAACAGTGCAAACATCTAGCATCTCATTCACCATCTTCCTTTCTTTTCATTTGTTATACATATCCCATTACAAGCCTTCTTTCACTAGGTGCTTCTAGTTGACTTGCCCTTTCACCTCCCATTCATTTACCTATCCATTCATCTATCACCTTTTTCTACCTTCTATTTTCTTCACATTACTGATAGATTCTAAGATCCATTACTTCAATTTTTCTCTTGCAAATTGTCTGGCGAATTCCACCCGGGATGAACCTATCCATCTCCTCTATGTCTACACCCAGGCTGCTAAGAAAAACTAAAGAATAACAGAGTGAAGCAGATTTGTATTTCTGCAAATTAATGGTGAGTGACCTCAACTAGACTCTCAAAACTGGCCAGTTTAATTTCTACAAAATCTCTCTTAAACCCATTCTATTCCTCTCAAGCCTCCAACTCTGTTTTTCTCAGCATTTTTCCATTTTACTGGAAAAATGGAAACTATTAGATGGAGACTTCATACGGTCAAAAGTCTTCTCACTTCTAACAAAGGCCAACGATTTTGCATGTGGTCTGCACTCTAGCTCCTCAGGTTTTTCTCAAGAATATTAATTATTTCCTTTCTTTCTGATATTATTTCTATTTCTTCCTCTCTACTTCCCATTAGCACTTATGCATGCTCCAATTTATCTCATTACTACAAGCAACTCAACAAACCAGCGAAACATTTCCCTCTGTCCCCACAAAGGACCCTTTGCAAACCACATGCTTCTCTGGCTACTACCAGTCTCTCCCACTGTTCTCAAATTTCTGGGCTGGGTTGCCCATAGTTTCTCTTTCTATCTTTAGTCACTATTCCCTCCATAAATCCTCAAATTCAACTTCTGTTTCAACAACTCCATGGAATCAACTCTTGCTAAAGTCACCAATAATTTTCATACCACTTAATCAAATGTACTCTTGTTGTCCTCATATCACGCCACCTTTCAGAGTCATTCTACAAAGTTGACCATTTCTTCTATTGAAATACTTTTTCCCTTTGATTCTCATGATGTCACATGCTCCTAGTTTCTCTTCTACCTCTCTCATTCAGCCACCAAGGCAATCCCATCCACTATCATGGCTTCAATTGCTACCTATACTCCAACAACTTTCAAATTCTATCTCTAGCCAACTTCTCCTCTGAACTATTCACATGACATCTTCATCTAGAAGCCTTCAAACACCTCTACTTGAATGCATTAAAAGTGAACTCATGCTTCTGTTTTTTCCCCAAACCTTCTTTTTCTACAGTAGATACTTCCAACACCTATCTAATTGCTCAAACCACATACCTTGGATATACCGTTGACTCCTTCTCATTACCGCTTCTTATGTGCAACGAATTACCAAGTCTTGTTAATTCTACTCTTGGAATATTTTGTCACCACCATCATTAGTCACATGGCCTCCCGGAATGGGCTTTGCCCACAAAAACTATTTTCCTCAAAGCTATGGAAGTAAGCTTACAAAAATGCACCTCTGATTATGACATATTTCTACTTTAATATCCTTCAATATATTAAAGATTTCCCTCCCTTCTAGTATTTTTTGACCTACAAAGCATGTCAGTTCACAACTCAGCCTCTGATTTCCTCTCCAGCCCATCCTGCTCCACTCTCCTTCTTACATACATTGTTATAGCCGCACTGGTCTTGTTCTAAGTCCTCAAATATACCTCCTCAACCCCAACTCAGAGCCTTCTGTCCCAAACACTCTAGGCTTACTCCTCCCTCTGCTGCAATAACATTGACTCACTCTTCAGCTCCTACCCTCCAAGAAGCCTTCCCTGACCTCTTATCCTAGTTAAGATCCTCATCTATATAGACGCATTGCCAACTGTATTTTTCCTTCAAGGCACTAGTCACAAATCTAATTAAACAACTACTTCTGAAGATGGTACTTGTTTAACGTGTGTCCTCCTTGCTAGAATGTGCACTCCTGAGGTCAGGGTCTTTGTTCATTGTCATATTGTCAGGGGCTAACATTATGTTTGGCTTATCATATGTGCTCAGTGACTGCTTTTTTGAAGGAATGAATGATTTTAATATAACATGGTAAGTATAAAGATGGAGGCATAGAGATTGCAAAATGGAACAGAGATAAGTGGCATTTCATTCAGCCAAGGAAGTCTACCAGTGTAATTGCTATTGCGTGATTCAGATGATGGTCTTGAACACAAAATTTGGGAATAGGGTGGTCAGCAACCTAGTGCTTATTTCAGCTTGTGTCTCCAGCTTGGCCTCTTCTTTGTCTCTCAAAGAATGGAACCCCTGGAAAACCCAAGGCAGCTTAGTAGCTATCACCATTCACTAGTTGTAGGTGGAGCGATAATTTAACCCATCAGATAATCTGAGTTCTCTTCTTAAGTCCCCTGCTGTGACCATAGATCATTTAGGTTTTTCTATAAAGCAATACAACTTGGGAGATTGGTTGTCTTCCCCATCATTCAAGAAAGAATTATAAGACGATTTGTTTTACCTACATATGTATACATTCAAAATCCTATCATTTTCATAGGAGAAACAAACCATCCTTATTTCTTTATTTCTTACACCACAAACACTGGATTAAGAAAGGCAAATAATTGTAAAACCTAGTGCACTTTGAAATTAGGATGCTTTCTATGGAGAGACAATTTTATGCCAAAACCTTAATTTTTAAACTACCCTTGCTGGGAACCTGACAAAAGCAGCCCAAGTCCTACATAACATCCCAGGGGACAGAAGCACCTGGGGATTTTTAAGATACTTTCAATCCAATCAGTTTCAACGTTCATTCATTGAGCGGATGGTGAAACAGAACGCTGAGGATTCAGACAGAAACTCTGTCCTCAAAGAGCTCATGCTGAGGTCACAGACATATAGCCACATTGTTATAACATAATCCACAAATAGAAGTATGTACAAGTTATAAAGATGGCCCAGAGAGGGACAGATCTTTTTGGGGGATCAAATCCTGATGAGGTAAGACCTCAGCTGGGTTGTTAAGGATGAATAGGTATTTACCACACAAGCATGATGGGGAAAAGGCATTCCAGGGAAAGGTCCATCTTCTAATCACAGGATAATGCTTCTGGCCTGTACCAGCAAGAAATGGTGTGGGAGGTGAAGGACAGAGACCAAGCCATGAGGGGTCTATGTGGCATATTAATTGAGAAACAAGTACTTGGTTCTGTAACTGAGGGGACCCTTAAAGTTTTTGAGTAGGGACAGATATAATCAATTTCACGTCATCTCTGTGGCAACATGGTGGATAGATAAGGGAAAAGTGAGTCTAGAGTCAGGGCTGGCCAGCAAAGAAACGGAGAGACCAGCTGGGCCCGCCTGTCCCCTCAGCCTGTAGAATATTCATCCACATACAATTTCAGGCTAAATTTGAGTGTTCATAAGCTAAAACCATGTATTGTATAATTTTAGATACAAGAAACTGAAGGGTATCATGTTATTTACGTAACATTCAGAAAACTACTGCACTTCTTGAATGTTTATCTGGCCCCACTATAATAAGTGAAGGTTTTACTCCTGAAATGTTGCTAAATAAATTATCTGTGTGCTAAAGATAACAACCTTAGGTCACACCGTTTCCTTTCCCTTAGAATAGCTGGAAGCAGGTAGAGTTTGTTCATCAGAAGGGACTTTTGCACAACTTTATGAGATAGTTGCAGGTGGGCAGTATGGTTCTTGAACCACATTAGTTGGTCCTTGTTGCCTAAAACAAAGCAAAACAATGAGGGCATTTAACATGGCTTTGTTTTGTGTCCCCACATGGGCCTTCAAAATAATTAGGACTCTCTGATGTTTTCAATTTTTCATAGTCTTAGCAGGTCCCCACATCAGTATTAGATTTTGACATCTTGCTGCTTTCTGTGGAAAAGCACCCAGATTCCAAATAAATAAGTTTATGAAATTTTCCATTACCAGGCACTGGTTTGTCACCAACAATCTACTGTTCAACATTTATTGTACTAATTTGTAAACATAATCGTTGTCACGGAGACAAATGGATAAACAAGGACAGACAGATAATGACATCTTTAGAGACAGCATGTGGTAGTTACAGCTAACCTTTGGGTCCTACATTTTTGTGTTTTTGCTGCTGTGGACTGACGAACACAGAAGCCATTGTTTTTTAGTGTGTGAATCTACACTCAGAGAAAAAGGCTTAGCCTCTGGTCTGAGAGGATTAGCAAGGTTTTAGAGACTACTAAAGGTCTCTAAGGGTGAATGTGGAAT